GAATTCGTCTTTTGTCCTTGCAGTTGGAACAGAAAGTAATTGCCAGTGAGATTTTCAAGGGTAAAAAAGACAATTACCCTCAGAGTGTTCCCAGACTCTTCATCAACACTCGACTGGGTGAGTAGGTGTTGCAAATTTAACAGGAGGAAGGAAGGGGGGGATTCATCTACTCTTTTCTTGCTAGGAATTTCTTTCTGACCCCTCCTCTTTGGTTTTTATACAGGTAAGGAAGAGATACACAGTAAAGTCCTTCAGGCTTTAGAAAATGAATCACTTAAGGTGAGATGTGTATCCCAGTACTTTTGTCAAGCTTCTAGACTTATTCAGCAGAAGAGATTAAATTTCTGAAGGAAGTACAGCAAGAACTTTACATTGTATTAAGCTTGTAATACTTTGGAGGACAGTCTGTGGGAAAAGCTGATGGCTCAGAAAGTGGAGATCTGGGCAGTTTATTTACACCAGTTAAGAAGGGAAGGGGTTGAAGCTGGAGAGGAAGGGAGAAACCTGCAGAGACTGACCCTGGGGGTTCCCCAGCCCTGCCAGCTGCAGCCACCACGGTGCTGCTGGAACTGCTCGAGCTCAGCAAGGAAGTTCTGCCCCAGGGAACGGGACTCAAAAGAGCAATCTCCTCCATTCCTGGGTTCCCAAACACTGGGCAGTGCCTCCTGGGCGCTCCCTGGGCTGCAGATGGTTCCCCAGGCTGTGCTTTGGCCCTGCTAACCCTTGTTTCAGTATGCAGTGCCTGTGGTCAAGTACGACCGGAGGGGGTACAAGGCCCGGCCGCGGCAGCTGCTGCTGACCCAGAGCGCTGCCATCGTCGTGGAGGAGTCCAGGATCAAACAGAGGATCGACTACACCAACCTCACAGGTGGGAACGGGCACAGGAACAGGCTCCCTCCACTGCACTCAGTTCAGGAATACCCTTACAAGATCCAATTTGTCTGCCCTGCACAAGAACAGAATTATCTGATCCTGGGCAAGAACGGAATTGTCTGATCCTGACAAGCATTTCAAGTCTGTAATATCTGGAAATTGAGTTCTTCTAAAATTAAATTCCATAAAATGTCACAGAAGTTACTCAATTCATCCCCCCTAAGTAATTTCCCAATTGCACTGCCCCAGCTCAGGGAGTTGCACCATTATTGCACAGCAGCTGCCTGGGACACTGCTGCAGCTTTTGACCCTCAAAATATTCATCAGGGACTTGATCCTTTTGGAGAGGGAACTTGGGGAGAGAGGGAAAACTGCCGAGTCTGGTGCAGTGTGGTCATTGTAGGCTTTGGCTGAAACCTCTCACTTGAGCCCCTTGCAGCCTCCTCGGCCTCTGCTGCCTCAGCTGTCGGGTCTCTGTGTGGGAACAGTTGCTGCATTCCTGGGAGAGGTGGTGGGACATTCCCAAGGTCCCAGCAGTGCTGGTGCCACAACAGCCTCTCTCTCCTCTCTCCCCCACAGGCATCTCCGTCAGCAGCCTGAGCGACAACTTGTTTGTGCTGCACGTGCACTGTGAGGACAACAAACAGAAGGTAGGGGGGCTCCTCCATCCCTCCATCCCTCCTGGGAAAGGTTTGAAGGCACAGGGAGCAGATCCAGCTGGGAGGAGGGCAGGGGGCACACAGGTGACAGGGCTGTAAGTGTGTGCCAGCTCTAAGGGGCCTTTCCCTTCCCTGTCCTTGTGCTCTCGGGTGGGGTTCCCCACGGGTTGTTCCCCAGCAGGGTCAGTGCTGTCCCTTGTCCCCAGCAGTGGTACCTGGGGAAGGAATTGGCTGCCATGGGTGCAGTGTGACCCACTGAGAGCCCCACCAAGCATGGTCCCCTTGGAGGATTGGTTTTCCTTGCCCACCTGTGACGGGAGATGGCTCTGTCCCTGTTCATCCCAGCGCAGGGATTGTGGGGCAGTGACACCAAAGCCACGATCCTAAACCACGGTCTCTCCTGCCAGGGAGACGTCGTCCTGCAGAGTGACCACGTGATCGAGACACTGACAAAAACAGCCATTCTGGCTGACAAAATCAACAATGTCAACATCAACCAGGGCAGGTGAGTGACACCAGGGCCCTCCTGGGACTCCCCTTGGCTCTGCTGCAGCACTAAAAGGGCTACAGAAACATTCCTGTACCCATCAAAACACACCAAATACACCTTAACTGAGGCTCCATTTCCTGGAACACACAGATCTGTTGCATCGATACAAAGCAGCCACTCACTGGTTTTTGTGTGCACTGAGCTCCTGTAGAGTCACAGGCACTCATCAGAGCTGTTCTCACCTTTCTCTTCGCAGCATAAAATTCACAGTGGGCCAGGGCAAAGAAGGGATCATCGACTTCATCTCGGGCTCAGAACTGCTCATAGCCAAAGCCAAGAACGGGCATCTAACAGTGGTGAGTAGGGGCTGGGCTTCACTTGCACTGGATCCAACCTGGATTTTGGCATGAAATCCAACCTGCACACGTGGGACCTGAGCCATGGGACGTTCTTGCCAATTGCCCTGCCCTGCTCTCCCAGCCTTTCCCCCAGTTGGAGCTGTGCTCTGTGTTTCTGCAGCCCTGAGGGCCTGCCAGGCTTACTCAGGCTCAGCCAGTGACTATCCTGGCACTCCCTTTTTATTTCCCCCCAATATTGAGGGTGTTCACACTTTACTCCAGAGCAAATCAAATCTTAAATACATTTAAAAACACAGGTAGCAAAAAAAAAAAGAAAATCCTCTCCCCTTCTCAGCTTGCTTGTGGTGGTCCTGCCCATCAGATACAGTCACACAGCTGATTTATGCACTGTCAGATTAAAGGTTATCCAGAGATAAATCCAGAACAAATCCAGACTGCACTGACTCCTCTTCCAGTGCCAGAGCTGGGAGCTCCCATCAGGACCACCATGAGGCTGCTTGGAGCAGCCTCAACATGAAGACTTTTGGGAACTGAAGCTGTTGCAGCATCTCTGTTTCCAACACTTTCTAACCCCTCCCTCTCCCGCAGGTTGCTCCTCGTTTGAATTCCCGATGATGAAAAGTGTCCCTGCGCCAGGACCTTTCCCTCCATGGAATTGGCTGAACTTTGTTCCCAGCAACCCCACCCCCTTTCCTCGCTTTGCTCTTTCTGTTTATCGTTACCAAAGACCTGCACTTTTCAGAACCACCACAAAATACATCCTGCTTTAGTCTTTACTCTCAAAAGTCCCAACAAAAAGGCCTTCTCTTCTTCTTCCTTTCCCAAGTGGCAAACACGGGGTCCAAACGCAGCGTCCCCAGCTCGGGACACTCAGCTGGGCTTTGAGGGAGAGGGAGCTCTGACTCTGACTCTGTTAACAGAGTTTAAGCCCCCCCCATGGAAACGACCAAAACTTGTGCTTGTCGTCACCAAAAAAAGCACAATCGGAAAACAAAGTCACTCTGCTGCTTTCTCAGCCAAACCAATGAAATGCCAAACTTTGTATTCAGAATGTTTTATGAAGAATTTTGCTCTGAGATGTTTTAATGCTTTGTGTTACAATTTAGTGAAGCCATATTGTGTAAATGAGTAAAAAAAACCTGTAAATACTTTATAGCTGAGGATGAGATGCACTACGAGAGATGGAGTTGATGTGGAAACTTATATTTTAGATTTGGAATTCTTTTGTTGTTTTTAGTTTATGGTTACAAGGTATTATTAACCTGAAAAACCCATCATGCAACTTCCTCACTGATCTGGATCCAGAGACTTTTACCTTTTTTTGAAGTCAGCTGTCCCATTTCTTGCTCTCTATTTTTATACCTTAGGAATTTTTCATATCCACACAATCTGATACAAACTGCAGAGGTTACCACTGCTTTGTGCCTCTCCAGACTGGCAGTGCAGCCTGCAGTCCTTGGCTGTGGGATGGGCACAGGCTTTCCCTCCTGCCTGGGAGTCACCACTGCCCTTCCCCACCGCGCTCAGAGCAGCACGTTCAGGAAAAACGGCTTTTCCTCTTGTTTTTAGCGATAACTGGAAGTTCGAGTTCCCGCAGTATTTCTGTCGATGCCTCAGTGCTGCCTTCCGAGGGCGGGCTGGGTCAGCACTGCTGCTGCTCCCCAGCCCCAGGACACACTTGGAGTGCTCAGACCTCGCTGAGGTTCATCCTCAGCACCTTCCCTTTACCCCAAACGGCCACAGGGTGCACAGCTCCGAGTGGGATTCCTGCTGCCTGCACACCACAGCTCGACCTCAGTGCATCCTGCACTCCACTTGCCTTAGGAATCCTTCCCATTCCACCTCTCTCCTGACGCAGCAGCACCAGCAGCCACAGCCCAGCCCTGACAGATCTAACCCAAAGTGCTGCCTCTCCCCCCCCATCGGCTCCGGTTCCTGTCCTGCTTCGGCTGCCAGGCCTGGAATGCCGGATGCACTGCGGGCCATTCCCAGCCCTGAGCTGCAGTGTGTGTACACACAGCTGGCTGTGCTGGTCTGTAACCCCCTCCAGACTACGCTGAATAAATTTTTACAAACAAACCAACAGCCCTCGTCTCATTGTGGAAGTTTCCTCCCCTTTTCTGCAGGGCAGGCTCTGCCCCAGCCCTGCTCACCTCTGGCTCTTGGGCCCGTCTGTCTGCACGGAGCAGTCCTGCTGGCCAGGACAAGGCACAGGGTACTCCAAGAGAGGTTTTTTCAGTCCTTTTCTAGGACTGGGATCTTCCATCAGCTTGGCAGGATGGACAGCAAGACACATGGATGGAGAAAAGGAAAACAGGGTAACTGCAATGCATGGGGAGTGCTGTAAGAGCAGGTGAGGGGAAAGCACCAACCAGCTCAGGGGTTTTATACATTTAGGCAGGGAAAGGCTGGATCAGGGAGTGGAGCCTCTGCCTCCCCCAGTGCCCTGCAAGCAGCACAACTCCCACCTCAGCCCAGCTCTTCCTTATCTCCTGGCTGAAGAACCAGGCTGTCCCTGCTGGCTCTCACTCCCCCTCCAACTGTTCCTACCACAAGCAACAAACCAAAAAAGTTACACTTCCCAAAACAACTCAAACCTAAAAGAAAGCCATAGTAATATTTGGCATTTTTAATTTAGGTTTGTTTTATTTAAGTTTAATGTTAATTCCATGCTGTGTTTCAGTAAGAACAATACAGATTCTGTATCTGTGGCTCCAGTCAGATATCCAGTAGTACAAATTAGCTTCAAGTTACACATACTGAACAAAAGAGGTTGAGCGAGCGAAGGGAGATGGGGAGAGGGGAGGGAGAAAGAAAAAATATTGAACACGCATGCAGGCTTATCAATGCCACCTTCAATGCTAACCTGCTTGGAGGGAGAGTAAAGAACAGGCAAGAATGAGCAGCCACGGATTGTTGAACTGTTACCAGCACCATGATTTTTCAGCAACGTTTCAGCAGTTTGGAAACTTTTTGTTTGTTTGTTTGTTTTTATACAGTAAAACCACTACTACAATGTATGTCCCAATGCAACCTCGTAACTTCAAGCTAAACACCCAATTAAGTTTGAAACATTGGTATAAAATTCAGTTTCAACAGTTATAAAAAAAAAAAAAAAAAAAAAAAGGAAGAAAAAAAAGGAAAAAGAAAGATGCCACCACATGCTCACTGCCTTGGCCAGGACAAATCTCTGCCTACGAGTCTAAGGGCCTTCAGGTGTCACCTCCAGGGCTGATGGCAATGTCACCACAGCTGGCAACACAATACAGTAATGCTGAAAGAGCCTTTACGCAGTCCTGTTAGTGTCTTAAAGAACCTAAAAGCTGGCACCAGTAAAATCCACAGAAATTCACTCTTGCCTTTTAAGAACTTTTAAACTGTGTAAAAAAAATAAAAATAAAGAAACCCAACAGGGCAGGAACCTAAATTCTGAGACCCAATGTAAAAGTCAGATTTGGTGGTTCTCAGAGTGACACTGAGGGTTTTTGTGGGGAAGGGGAAGGGTGGTCAGAGATGGGTTCTCTTGTTGGCCTTTGTGTCTCACTGGTTTTCATCTTCCACATCCTGCAGCGCTTCTTTATTCTGTTCTTCACCTACAGAAGTGGATAAAAATAAGGACAACATTAACTTTCACACATGACACCTGCAGGAAGGCTTAACAAGCGTCTAGAGATTAATATTTTCATGCAAGTACACACTCACTCACACCCCACACTGCCAGTTCCGCAGGGAAGCGTTTCCATGGAAATTAAGCCCGGTAATCACCCCCACACCTCACCCAGAACTGCAGCTCAGGCCATTAGAACGACGGATTGTGTGAGGACAAACAAAACCACCACTGCTGAAAACTGACACCGCACAGGGGATCAGTCCTGCCGAGCAAGGGCTGGACAGACACGAGAAATCATCAGAAGGGCTGTGGATCAACATCCCTGGATCAAAAAACACCGTCCCAGAACCCTCATCTTTACTCCAGAGAGCAGCAGGGACATTCACTCACTCACTACAGAAATGAGACCTAAACAGGTTTAGAAATTAGAGCTTTTTTCTGCTCAAGTCCACTCAAGTTTCAACAGCAAAGTACTTTTACACAGTAGCACTGATGGCAGGTTATTACCAAAGGTACAAGAAATGTCTCTGCTTCAACATGACAAGAAACCTTAGACGAGGTTACTGAACAAAACCATTTAGTGGGAATTAATTTCTCTTGAAAAGCAGCCAGTTTGGGCATATTCAACCAGCTGGGCCATGCAGTGGGCTCAGGCCTGTCCACAAGGACCCCTGAGGTTGGGGACACTCGGGCTGCCCCAGTGAGCCCCATGCAACGCCCTCCCCACGGCCTGGCCCAAGTGCCACTGCAACAGGGGATGTTTCAGGTACTTCAGCTGGGGCCACAACACATGCACAGCTCAGTTAATTGATAAGAGAGACCGAGAAAGTGTTTTCTTTCCACTTAAGCACAAGGGATAGTACTCTCTCAAGGGCAATAAATTGAAATTAGCAATTAAAAACTTGATTTGTGATAAAATCCAATCAAATGGGACTAATGGCTTCCAGCAGGTAACCAGGATGCCTGCTCAGAGCATGTCCAGATTCAGGATTACCACCAGGCACAACACAAGGTAGATTTTGGAGGAGGTGGCCCAGGAACACAGGACATCTGACATTCAACAACAACAAAATTTATATAGAGAATTACATGAGAGATCATTTAAGAGAGGAAAGCAGAGCCCTGACCCGGGTTGATGAGTCAAAGATCTGAGCATGCTCCAACCAACGCACTGAAGCGAACACCCCTCCAACAGGCCAAGGTGACAGTTCTTGTCATGCCCAAATATTCCCAGTGTCCAGCTATGCAGCTCAGTTCCCCAAGGGGGGTTCCTGTGGCTCTCAGCCCTGGGGTGGCAGCAGGGACACAAGCGTTGTCAGAGCAGTGGCAGAGGCAGGCACGGTTAGTGACACTGGCACTGAGCACCTCGTGGAGCCACGACAGACACTTACAAAGTAGAGATTTTAGGAAATGAACAGTTGGACTTTCCTTTAGGAATCTATACAGCAGGAAAGAAGGGGAGAATAGGAATCATATGGAGACAGTACAAGCGTGGAAATCAACTCAACACTCATCTGTGCCATGGGAAGAGCTACAGGAAAGGGGATGGGAGGGCAAAGCTGGGAAAGGCCTGGATTTACTGAGTCATTCCCTACGACCTGCACAGCTGAAATGGAAACAGGGAAAAGCTCAAGGCGAAAGAAAAGCCCTTTTCAAGTCTCCCCCAACCCCTGGGAAACTGGTAACTGTGCCAGTATTGACTTTATCCTTCACAGGCTCTGCCTGCTTTGGAATATGGAGTTCTGGAAGCAGCAGTTTAAACACACTGAGCACACTGGCCTGGCATGAGGAAATGAGGGAACTTAACTCTGCACCCGTGTCTAAACGTTCTGCATAAACACTTTTTGGGGGATCTGAAGAATTACACCACCATTTTAAATATTTCTGCAGTAATTTTGTAATCATTACCTTTCTGGCACACATCGAACCAATAACAAGGATAATCTGAAATACTCCAGAAAGAACCAAAATGTCTGTATTTTATGATATAGAGCTAATTATGAAGCAAGAAATTCCAACCTGTACTTCTTTTTGCAAAAATCTAAAGAGCCTTGTAATAATCTTGTGGAACTTCTACAAAATAAGAGATCCACGAGACACATCACCCAGCTCACAGGCAAACCAAGAGCTTTAGGAAGATGTTCTAATGCTTCTGTCTCTCAACAGTGACCCAGCCCTGTTACTGCACTGAGATGGTTCCACAGAGCACCAGGGTATTTGGCTCCCTTAAAAAACACTGAAGGTCATAACTGTGGGAATTGCAAACAGGTTTCTTTTTCCCCAGTGCCCATCCATGGCAAGGCAGGCACCTCCTGAGGTGGCTGGAGAAGAGCCTGTGCAGATCCACCCAGGATCCAGCCACGAGATAATCTCACCTCCCTGAAACAAGGCCTGTGCAAGAGCCTTAAGCACTGGGATGTGGAATAAAGCAGGAGCCAAGACCCTACACATTTACAGCATTCCCAGTTCTGCCAACAGCCCAAAGAGCAGAGGCAGAAGGTACTGAGTAACAACACTCCAGACCCACAGAGAAATGGGGAGTCAAGGGAGAGTTCAATCCTACAGCAGCTTTCAGATGGACACTGCACCAATGAGGCACCCACAGGAACGCTGTGTGGTCACCACTGTGCTTCAAGTAACATCTCACCAAAAATGTAAGACACTCCTGTATTTATCTGAAGTTCAGCAGATGTTTCAAACCTCTGGGCATTTGGGGCTACCCAAAATAGTTTAAACACGACTGATTTCCCCCCAGGGTAAAAGTAAAGTCAGCTCTTTCCACTTGTCTCTGCAGAACGTGATTGTTGCAAAAGTAAACTTGAGTTTCATCTTTCTAGATACAGATTATATTTAATTCACTACCAATAATCAGTGAAACAGAAGGTGTAACTCAAAAAAAACGAGTCAATCCATGCTTAGCTCCCTGTCACTGCTTTTAGAACAATCACAGATGGCAGGTGGGGAGGGAGAACCGAGAAGTTCTCCAAAGAAGCCACTGTGACCCCCACCAGCTCACCCCAGGCTGAGGCAGGACAGAAGTGCAGGGGGGTCGATTACCAGGGAAGACAGAAGTAAATCATCAAACCCATCTGCATTTCCACGCTCTGTGTCCTGGGCACAGGTCGGGGGTGCAGCTTTTGGAGCAGGATTTACTCACCATCACCCTGCATGTCTGAAGTCCATAGTGTCAGGTTATCACGTAACAACTGCATGATAAGTGTAGAGTCCTTATAGCTTTCTTCACTCAGTGTATCCAGTTCTGCAATAGCATCATCGAAAGCTGCTTTTGCCAACCTGGAAGGGCAGAGCAAAATCAGAGTTCACAAGTATTTCTACACAGAATCCAGAAGCACAAGTTAGCACACCCATCCTCTGGTCTGGCTGTGTGACATCCACAGCTCCTCCACAAATTCTGGTGTTGTTTAACAGTGTTTAGATGTTCATTCAAGTATCTCCCATGTTAAAAACCAGCCACCCTGTGTGCTTAAGAAACTTTTTATTCAAGAACACTGGTTTATTAAAAATTTCTGGATCCTGCAGTACAACTGACAGAGGTCTGCTAAAAGCCTGAAGAAAGTGTAATACATAACCTGCAGTGACAGGACAGAAGACAAAGAGTATTTGTTTCAATCATCACTTTTGTGCTCAGATGAGCTGAAGTCCTACAGACAGATGAGCCATTGTCACTATACATGCTCACAGGTCACAGGAATTAGTAGCAGGATCCCTCCTACCCTGTGCAGTAGCCAACAGGAAGAGGGGCACGTTAAATCACCTCACACCTCTGGCAGATTAAGGGCATGCACAGAGTTAACCTGGCAAGCTGCTGAACTGCCTTAGCTGATCAAATCAAGGTGATCACTGTTCTGCTTCTCATACACCACCTACTCCCACACAAACACACTGCTCTGGACTCGAAAGAAAGCGGTGAAGTCGAAAACCTTCCCAGTGAATTGATGTCAACCAGAGCAACCACCCGCAGGAAGAAAGCCAGCCCAGTGTTCCCACTGAGGAAAAGCAGTTCCCCAAGTAGCAGCTTTTGGCTTGTCTGGTATTCACACAACACTCCCCCACGTTCCCAGTCACCACATACCTGCAGGCACGATCAGGAGAATTAAGAATTTCATAGTAGAATACAGAGAAGTTGAGCGCAAGTCCTAAGCGGATGGGATGTGTTGGCGGGAGTTCTGTCATTGCAATATCACTAGCAGCTTTGTAAGCCACCAAGCTATTCTCTGCAGCTTCCTTCCTGTCATTTCCTGTGGCAAACTCAGCCAGATACCTATGGTAGTCCCCCTTCCTGAAAGCAGAAGCAGCAGGAAGTCAGTAATCCCCATTTCCCCACCAGACACTAAATTAACAGCTCTGTTCTGAAGCTGATGTTTATGTATTCACACACCGAGGGCCTGCTGCTGAATTACTGTCTGGACAACACTGTGTTAGGAGCTGAGGGGATTTTAAACCATCACTACATGACAGTTGTCTGTCTGCCTGACTTTCTTCTCTTCATGAGCAGAGCAGACAACACTGCAGCAGGGATGGGATTTCTCCATCAGGAGCTCAGTTCAAGGAAACTGCTGTTTCTTACACTGAAGAGCTGCACAACAGTTTACATCAGGTCCTCGTGGCCTTATTCCAAACATCATCATCTACCCCAAATCATGATGAGGACATGGTAGTCAAGAAGGGACATTGGTTAGACATGACTGAACTGCCCCCTTTCTGGAAGGGACTGTGGGCAGAACACACACGTACAGCTCCTTTCTTTGTCTCCACTGCAGGCCCAGTAAAAGGTCTTTTCCTCACAAGAACACACTTACATTTTGTAATAGAAAACCTTGGACTCGCCAGTGTTAGCTGCTGGAATGAGGTGTTTGTCCAGTACATCCAGAATGTCACAACAGATTAACTTCAGTTCGGTCTCAACCTAGTAATAAAAATAAACACACAATTCATAATTAATTCATCATTAAAAGAGGGGGCAAGGTCAGCTCATAAGACTAAGAGCGATTTCCAAAAAAATCAAATTGGTAACATCATAAAATTCCAAAGAGGAATTTCCAAAGGGAGAAAAAATACAATTCAGCTGCTCCACAGGTGCATTAAGCAAAACAGTTCTGCACAATTAGCTGGCACACACAAGAGGCAAGGACTGATGGATGATGAAATGTGTAACTCAAGGATGGAATTATAAATTCCCCAGAAGACATCTCGCTAGACTGTGCATTAAGTTTGTCTCAGGATGTAACTCCTTACTGCAAGGCCTGCACAACTCAACTCCCTGTATTTTTGATCCTGGCAGGCTGCTCTCAAAGTGGCAACAGTGAAGGGGACAATCAGAGGGTAATTAACACAAATCAGCTAAACCCCATTACACCCCAGAGTTAAATGGCACCTTCAGAACAGATTTCCAGCGACTACTTGGAGGCAAAGCTCTGACAGAAGAGCCTGAAGACAAAAAGCATGGAGGATCAAAACAGAACAAGGATGGGCCAGCAAACAGAAAAGTCAGGTACAAGATGAAAACAAACTCCAGAAGCAAATGAAAAAGACAAAGTGCAGCAACGCGGTGAAAAAGCAGAAATCATCAACTCTACCAGTGAGATCTGTGGCCAAAAAAGCAGCATATAAAGCCCTATTTAAAACCAGATGCTGGATTGTAATAGTCAGAATTGAAAATGTAGCCACATCACCCTCAGTTTTTCTAGTTTCAAATATAAAGCAAGGGCTGGATGAGGTTTGGTTTTACCCCAGGGAGTTTCACACCTGAAAGCAAAGAAACCAAAGCACGCCCCAAAAAGCTAAAAACCCTCCTCTGACATCCATACTGCCAAAACCTGAGCCTCCCACGTCATTCCAGCAGAAGGGGTTGGTTAAGTGCAGACAGACACCAATTGCTGCTTTCTCATGATCTCACGGTAACTTTTGCACCTACAGCTGAAGACAACTCTGGCTCGAGCTGATTTCACAGAAAGCAAGAGATTTTTTCAAGCAAAGGCACCAATATCAGTTACAAAAAACTGCCAGAAGCTGCATGTTCTGGCTCACAAGAGCAGCCCCAGCGAGTGCACCGTCCCTTCCTCTCCTCCCACCTGAGCACTTCGCTTTCCTCCTTTCTTTAAGCATTTTTCTTGCCATTTTTTACCACCATTCAGCTCCCAAACTGTCAGGGTTTGTAACCACACCAGCTAAAAAGGTGTTACTAAAAAGGTGTTAAAATTACAGATCCAAAATAAACGTTAAACTGGCACAGACACACACACACTGATTTGTACAAAGTAACAGATTTGCAAAAGTTCCTTTAGATAAATTAATCAGCAGCAATTTTCATGTACAAGCAATGTCAGAATGCCCTGACATTCAGAGGAACAGATGCTGTACTTAAGAGTTATGTGACAAAAGCTTAAGGAAGTTGCTGAAATATGGTCACTTGAGAAGAATCTACTTCATATATTTTTGGGCTACAATATAAAACCTTTGGCCAGCAGTCAGTTCCTGCAAACTTCTTTCCTCTTGATCCTCTTTTTCAATGACTTCTTTTGCAGAGAGATCTTCAGCAAAACTGCAAAGAATTAAATCAGTTTCTAATCCTCTTTAGTTAAATAACCATACATGTACAAACTTCTATTTCATCTCAGACACACCTTTTTTCAGCTTTGCCTACAGGATCAGTCACACATGTTATCAGAGATCAGCTCCTGTCCAGAGCAATGCAAATGTCCTGACCAAGCTTCGTTTAAAAAGATTTAATACAAATCAAGTTGATTAGGAACAAAACAAAACACACACACAAAAAATTAACCAACAACAAAACCCTAAAAGCTCTTGTACAAAAAGGATCTGTTCTAGACAGAGGGCTTAGCAAGCTCTGCAAAGCAGCAAACCAGCACAAGAGCCCACACTAAGCCTGCTCAGAGCATTCCTAACAGGCAGGTTTAGGGTCTATCACCATCCAGCTCCAAATATGACATCTGGTACTACAGAATCTGACCAGCAAGGAAGGGCTGCTCGCCCCAGTGGGTCCCCAGAAGCTGCCCCAATCCCCCCTGCCTGTCTTTATTTCAGTGCCATTGCTGGCTTCATCAGATTCCTTTGGCTCATCAGGCCGAGTACTCTGCACACAGAAAAGCTTCTAAACCACAGGTGATCAAAATAAAATAAGCAAACTTATTCACTGCCTAACCTTTCTAAGAGGAGGGGATGGAGGAGACAGCCTGGCAGGTGCCCCAAAACACAACCCAGGGTTTAAGTCAGAGCACTAGAAACACACCCAGCCCCATCTGCCACAAACCCAGAGCAGAAAGGGGAAGGGACACCTGTGCTGTGCTATGGGAATGGACTTGGCTGGACTGCAAGGAAGGAACTGCACTGTGTGCAGCCACACCCCCCTCATGCTCTCGAGGATGAAGGACAAACCCCAGCGTGTTCTCCTCACAGCCAGATGGGACACCCAGGGGGGCGTCCAGATGGCCACGAGGCCCAGGAGAGCAGCCTGTCCCCAAAGGAAGCAGGGAAGGGGCCTTTCCCCCACGGCTATGGATGTGTTTTGCTACATTTATCTGAGGTGGTTTGGGGAGAGGCAAAGCCTGCTGTCTGCCAGCACCTCCCAGGGGCCTGGTTGATGCTTCTTAAAAACCCAGTCTGCCCTTGCCCTCTCAACACACCATCCCCTGAGCTCTGCCCCGAGTCAGGCTGGCTGGTAGCTCAAAAAAACCCTCCAAACATCAGCCACGAGCTAAGTTATAAATACTGATGGAGACCAAACCCATTCACTCTCCTTACAGCAGATGCCAACCCTTAGGAAGTTCTCCCAGCAGTTCCTAACAGGATCTGGTCTTCAGCTACAGACAACACTCTTGGAGAAACTCCCCCTGGAGCCGAGCAGGCTCAGCCAGTGTTTCTCCAGCACAGAACCACAGGCCAGTTCTCACTGCACTCCTCCACCTCAGGCAGCTGTGAGAGCTGTTCCCTTTAAGGATTTAGCAGCTGAAGACACTGCTGGCATGACCCTGCACTTCAGTGTGGCCTCTCTGTCCTGATGCCTCAAGGACTACAGACATCTATTTCTTGCACCCCAGTCCAGCATGGTCCTTGTCCTTTTTACAAAGAATAATGGCTATTTCTAAAGTCCTTCCAAAACAAAAAAACCCCAAAACCCAAGTCTTTTCACCATTAAAGGATCTTTGGCAAAAGACACAAACCACCCACAAAATCTTGTGCAAAAGAACCTGGAAGCACACAGTGTGAGACAAATTTAAACAATCATTAGACAGCTATTGTCTTGTTTTCTGTGTTCTGTTAGAAAGATTGTAGACATCCATCAAGAAAAGGTATTTGGGACTGCATGTAACTGGCAGAGTCTCATCCCATCATCACGCTAGCATAAAATTAGAAACTCACAACTTTAACAATTCCATGGAGCAACAGAAAGCCTGTGAGTCAACAGAAAGTAGTCCAGAGCCATTCCTGAGAGAAGATTTCCAAGCCAACATCATTTCCATTGGTGGTAAATGAATCAGTGCCAGGTGATATAACAGACTCCACTGTTTCTCTGGAAGTGAAGATGTGAACCATGTGGAGGCACTTGTCCTCAGATAATGCAGATGAAGTCTCTGCAGAAGTGTGTGGGATTTCAGCAGTATGGGAGCATGCCTGTTCCGTGCTAAACCATCACTGAGAGAAGAGGGAAACAGCAACTCCCTGTTCTAACAGCTGAAGGTTTCATTAGCCCTTACCAATGAAAGCCAAAGCTTGCTCCAAGTTCTCCATTTTAGGTAAAGCTGCACACACTGAACAGTCACCATGAAGCTATGTGGATCAATTTTTCCCTCTCTCAAAAGAGAGAAAACAGCAAGGCCCTGGAGGTTGTTACACATCCGAGATGACCGTGACATCTGAGCATCCACCACCCCCAGGAACACACAGTGATAAGACACAGGGTAAAGGAGCCAAGAGCAGCACTGAAGATCCCTCCCCACTGGCCTTTCAACTGGCAGGATTTTGAACTCTGCAGGACAGAGAACTGGAACTGCACAAAGTGTCATTGTATGAGACTCACCCAAAGCAATTTTTATCAGAAGGGGCAGCTTAACAGCCAAACACCTCCTCTGACAGGGTTAATGAAAACAAAAGTTGCTTGGGGTAAGTCAGGTTGGAGAGGAAAGAGTAAGGACCTCCTGAGCATGTGCAGCCTTACACCTGAGCAAGCAGGGAGGAAAAGGTGTCAGCACAGTTCATATTCTTGGCAGATCTGTCGATGCACTGAAGGAAAAGCCCTCCCTCTCTTGAGTCTACTGCCCTTTCTGAGTGTTTACACAAAACACCCAACCTCTCCCCTTCACCAAGGATATTTATTCTCCAGATAAGGACTAAACTGCAGCCCTGCAAGGCTGTCACAGGTCACCACACCAGGCAGTGTGACCATGGCAGGGGTACCACAGCTGGACTGGAACAAGTGACCCAGTGCTGTCAGACCCACCCCAGCTTACCATTTGCCGATATTCCCGAATCATTTTTAATTTGTCTTCTCCACCTTTGTTTTCTTCTTTCTGTTCAATGCTGCTGATTATTCTCCAGGAAGCTCTTCTGGCTCCGATCACGTTTTTGTACGCAACAGAAAGCAGGTTCCTTTCTTCCACTGTCAACTCCACATCCATTCCAGCCACTTTCTTCATTGACTCAACCATTTCTAGGAGGAAGAGGTCAGGCAATTAATTCTCACAGCTGAAGCATCTTTCAAACCATTCAACACAAGCTGGATGTTAATGACAGCTCATGAAATTAGGCTTCCTCTTCCTTTCATCACAGTTACTCCTCACTTTTACACCGGAGTGTTCCAAACAAATCAATCAGCACATACACAAAGGAAGTATCTGATGTTCATTTAAAGGCATTTGACAAGGCTCCTCCAAAATTGTTTAAAGTTAATTTAGTTTTTGTTTTTATTTCTTTGGTTTGGGATTTGTTTGCTTTTTTAACAGGAAAAAATGATTTAGGAGAAAGAACATTTTTCCACATAACAATTTTCCACATTAGAGTTATCAGGACAATCCTACAGGAATGTGTGTTGCTCAAAGTGCTTCAGAGGAGGCAGAGAACAGGGAGAAAAGCAGGAGCAAATGTAACCTGGCTCTTGGCACTGTCAGGATAAACTGAAAAATTACAGAATGCTCTGCTAATTTGTCAACTGGAACACAGTGTAACATGGTAATTATCAAGAAAATAAAATCCAGGTTTGAAGAGATGTAGAGAAGTGTGAGTAATGTTAGGAGGGAAGAGAGTCAAAGTTGCAACAGGAACCTCCAGAAGAAAAACCTGGTGCTTGGAGAAGTAACAGAAAATTGCAACAGCTGAGGAAAAAATGGGTATGTTTTCTCAACTCTACTGCAGGTCTCCTTCATGACCTCTTTCGTAGAAAAATTTGTCCACTGTGGAAATTTGGAAGAAAAAACTACACACAGGACTTGCTGTTCCCTGTAAAGGAGCATCTGATTCTCAGAGCACACTCAAACCTCCCATTACAGATCTGATCAACTGCTTGGCTTCTGCAGGATTTTATCCAGCACTTGCCTAAACATCTTGAAGCAAAGGTCCAACACCCCTGTGCCCCAGGGGGCAAATCCAATCCAAGCTGAGCAGCAGCAGAGGCACCTCTGTCAGCACATATTTACCCTGCTCCACCTCTTCAGTCTTCTGCAAAGAAAGTCATTAACTACCCTCTTGTAGAGCCACCATGACCATTGGAAACAATGGAGCCAAAGGAAAACAGCCACCTGCTCAGAACTACTGGTGTCAGAAACCAGATCTTATCACCCAACACTTCCATGCCTGAGTTGTCAGTAAGTCAAACAACTCCTTGCCAAGTGACAGTCACTGATAAGAAGATGCTGGAAGATGGGGGGAGCACCTGAGGTTTCCTTCAGCTGTGAACCCTCCAGCTTCACCAACTCCTCATCCTGGGTACACAACCTCTCAATATAAAGGAATTCCTGATACAAGGAACTGAAAGGTCTTCTCTCAAAATCTTTATCCTGCTAGCAGTTAACTGCACAACCACAGATCAGAATCCTACCCATAAACAAGTGTCTTACCCAAAGAGAAAACATTTATCAGCCTACCCATGAAGCTGTTGGAGAAAGGTTTCCAGTTTAGCAATGAGCACAATTTTACTTACAATCCAAAACTCTGGGCTGATATTTCAACAAGATAAAATAATATTATGCACATACCTGGCCTCCCATGGTAAAGCCACAATCCAGCCCTGAAAGCTTAAGCCTGATGTATAATCTTAAGAACCGTGGCAGTAAAAAGGCAAAGGGACAACATATCTGTATCTTCTCCAACTGAAAACTAATTCTATACAAAAACAAAGCCATCTATGCCTGCCAAGAGAAAAAAAATGTTTTTATATTCTAAGTGCAGCTCTACCTATCTGGACGTTTCCACAAGGAGGTGAAAAGCTGAGGGCCCACTCAAGACAAAACACACGTCTGAGATTACGTTTCAGTAAGAAGGATCAGTGCAGCAATGACAACTCTGCACACACAACCCCGAGCCGCTTACACTGCATTATGGAGAAAGTCGTGTTATGCAGATTCAAAAAGCCAGGGACTGTAGTTTAAGTGGTTAAGTTCCAGCCTGTCAGTTGATTGTGGCTGTTGATTTATTATGCTCCTGTCAGATCATGCCACCACCAGAGCAGGAAATCCCAGACGTATAAACTGTGGAAGAAGAGGGGAATATTCTGGAGAATGACACACTCGCCCTAGATTTATATCCTTCCCCAAGTACTTGCTGCTGGTTAAGAAATAACACAATAAACAGATTTTTGGTCTGATCAGATCTGTAAATTCTACTGAAAAAGGGCATTTGATTGAGACTCCAAACAACTGCCTGTGATAGTGTGAAGCTATAATGATGCTCATGTCACTTTTTTAAGCTCCTGCACTCTACTACTCCGATTTCAAACACTGGCTCCTCGCTGCAAACACTGCTGACTCCCCTCCAGCCACTGCTGAGCACCAGGAGGGACACACATGCACAGCCTGAAAGCATAAAGGGTTTGGGCAGTGGTCACCACACACTGAGAGCTGCCTACAAGAGGTTTTTAAAATCCCAAGGTACACAGCTTGGGATCGGGGTTTTAACGTGAAAGACTAAGAATAAGCCTTACTCTAAAAGGTAAAGGGAAGTTTACAAGTGTTGAGAAGCACATGCTTGATAAACCATCTAGCAGGGGCCAAGCTACAGGATTTGGACAACAGGCACAGCTGATAAGGACTCCTACTAGGTCACAAAATAATGACTGCCTGTCCAACAGACACAGATGAGAAACTAAGTATTTGTTGCTTCTCAAACTCCAGAATCCCAAAAAAATCGGAGGAACTGCAATGTCCCTGTAGAGAATATGGAAATGGGAGATGGACAACAAATTTAAAGGAAAGATTAGGAACCTTCCCAATACAGGATACAAAACAAGAAACAGCAGACCCTACCAAAGGAACAGCCACTATCTGATAGTTCCACCAAAATCTGTGCCTGTAGCAGAAACCACCTGGCCTAAACAAAGGCTGATGCACTGAAGAGAACTGGCTGGGGTAAAACCACAGCATCTGCAGCCTCTAGCTGAGGTATTTCATAGTGCCTGGGTCTCCCTAACCAGGATGCTACAATGTCAGACTGCCTGTTTTACAAACAATTGTTTTATATAGTGAACAACCCCTCCTCATGATTTCAAACCTAACCAGAATCTACTTCAATCAGTGCTGGAGTAACCACCCCTTGCCATCACACACTGGTTCATCCTCACCACAGCAGAAACAGGAGCTGGAACATCTCTCAGTGGTGTCTCACTTCCAAAAGAGGAACTACTTACAAGTGAGAAAGCTGGTTGAAGTAAGAACAGAAAAAGATCTTCTTGTGTAAAGGCAGGATGGAGATGACTTGATGGCCATCACAGTCAGATCAAATGAATCTCAGGAGAACCCAAAAGGTAGAATTCTTAGATATTTATGAAGAGTAGCAGAAGCACTGTCTTAACCCTCCATTAAAACTTTAGTAGCAGCAGCAGAGCATCAGAAAAAGGAAGTTGTGCTTTGAGTTTAATCCTTTTTATTCCCCTTATCTAAGGGCAATAAAGAAGACCAAGCTCTTCAAGTTTCTAAGCTGCTGCCCAGTTATCTATTTCAGCATTTCAAGAGCTAAAAGGTGAGAGTATCCAGAGTGCTGTGAGGATGTGAAGAAAATAGGAGAAAAAAGAAGTCTTGCCACGTGTCCACCATAGATGATCATGCACCATAACCAGTATTCAGAGGAGACTTAGTACAAGTACTTGTCTTCTATTTTTCATTCTTGCAACAAACAAAAGATGATCAGCCACAAGTCACAGGAACTCAAAGTATCTGACCCTGAAGTGTAATCTCTCAGTTAAGTCTTTACCAGCAGCAGCAAACACAAAGTGGCCAGCATTGTTAACCTGAGAAGGGTTCCAGACACTCAAGAGGAACTACAAAACCATTAACCTGATACTCACCAGGGGTCAGGTTAAAGGGACCCACAGAAACTACCCTGAATGAGTGGGTATCTGCATAAACATTATGCTGCAGAACATGGCTTCTGTAAACTCAAGTAACACCTCATAAACCTACTGGAATGCTCTGAATGAGCCAAGCACGTGGACAAGGAGCCATGATTGACATCATCTACCTGGATTTCCCAAAGGCATTGACAAGGTCCCTCACCCAAAGTGCTTTAAGGAACTCAACTGCCATGGGACAGCAAGGAAAGTCCTCCCATGGATAAACATTTGGCTGCAAGACAGGAAACAGGGTATGAATGTGAGACTGAAGGGCTCAGAACAGAGAAAGACCACCAGTGGAATCACCCAGGGATCTGTGCTGGGAAGCACCCTAACACTTCTGAGTGATCCAGAGAAACAGAAGCAAATATTGAGGACTGACTCAGCAGTAGCAGCAAACTGCTAAGAACAAACACAAAAGGAACTGAAGAAATAGGAGCAAGAGTGTTTTCTTCAGAGTGATGACTTTAACTGTGCAGACTGATGCCCCCAGACTGCATTCCCCAAAACTGCAGGCCTCCTTCCATCCCCGGGAACTCTTCTTCTGAACACTATTACGTTGCCTGCAGCAGGTTTTTCTGTTCTCTTAAGAAATCCAGCATCTGGCCAGTAAGACTTCAGGGATGGCTAAGCCCCTCCTGCAGCTCACAGGGAGGTGAGGGCATGGATGGCTTTACCCCATTCCCTATCAATTCCCTCGTGCCAACTCAACACCTCTGACCTCCCAACCGGCTGATTCAGCTCAGACAACTACTACTCAGGGAAAAAATGAATCTTGCTCCTCGTTTAGAGAGCTGAGCTGGTTCTAAGGCTCAGACCAGAACCCAAGTAAACATGAGAGGTATTTCACGCTCACCACCATGTTCAAGTTCTATACAAATGAGCATAAAAGAACAGGTGGATTCCAAGAAGTTAAGACAACCAACAAGCAAGGAGTAAAAAAATACAAAATGATATCCATCCTGCACAGAGGCTTTGATGATTATTTGGTGGACAAAGCAGAGGGTTATGCTGCTCTTCCTCGTGTAAGGTGTGGAAAAGCTGGTGCAGTTAAAACATTTCCCCCATGTGACTGTAATACACAGTCCTACAAATACACCTGGACCTCCACACACTTGGAGAAACAACACAGGGTAAGGCCGAGTTATCCAAGCAACAGTGGTATGTTCTGCATTATCAGTCCTTATGGACCACCACAAGTCCTTCTTGCAACGAGAACATAATTTCTAAGTCATGACTATAATGTCTTCAAGCTGTGACCACAAATAAAGGGTGTTTTCCCAGTATTTCACCTCTAAAGACTGAGCCTCATCATCCATTTCTGGGCTTGACTGAGATGTGACACAAGTACTCAGTGCACTGGACACCAGTTAAGCTTCTGGGCTCCTTGTGGAGAACCAAACCATCCAACTGTAGAATTTTGTCTCCTTTGGTTGCTCTTGGTACCTCAGGCAGTTCAAGAAGGCCAATACAGATAAAGGCCCTCTCCCACACAACTCCTCACCATCACAAGTCAATTTATGTCCCACTATGTACAAGTGTCCCTCAAAAAAATTATCAGTTTTATTCCTCCAACACCGTCCTGGCCATGTAACTCTGAGATTCCCACAGTTCTCAGGGATATGCTGAGATTTTTCTGCCTTTTAGCAGTTTCACATGTACCCAATTCAGACAGTTACACCCCACATCACTACAACATGTTGACAGACAGGGTAAGTGCTGAACATTAATTGGGGAAGAAACCCAAAAAACTTAAGTGTGCTTGACATTTGATTGACATAGACCAATTATCTGCAAACCAAAATTAATACACAACCTAAATTCTAATTTTTGACTTAGTTTATTGATTCTTTATTAAGCTCTAAGCTGTAGACCTGTTACTGTGAAATTTTTTCTAAAAGGGGTTCAAATCTTGACTTGAAGCCTCTGCTGCACACACTGCCCTCGTAATAAAGACACATTTCCCTGAGAGACAATTTTTAAATACATAAGGTGCTGCACTGGGAGATCTCTCAAATAATGATGGGTTGGGTTTTTTCCTTACCTGTCCCTTGACCTATTAGCTGGTTTTGAGGGGCAAATCCCACCTATTCCACCTCACCTTAGTCATGTACTTCAAGACTTGCAGTACAAAGCAGCTGTTTAAAGTATGTAATTTTTTTTTACTCTGAATAAAACAGATGTTACCCAGCTCCCATCACAAGGAACAGGTTTCTAACATTCAGCAGCAGTCTACAGCAATCCAGATCCATCCTCTTGATATGAAGAACTCAAATGGTAGGATGGTAACTTCACAAGCCAACACAATGTTACTTACTCCAATTGTTTTCCAAAAAAGGAGACCATTTAGAGTTACACATTATTCTACCAATGACAGTGTTTGAAGGAATAGCAGTGAGTGAGATTTCTCACAAAGCTTCCTGTACTACAAAGTAAGCTTCCTGGCATTTTGTGATTTGCCATGACATGCCTAAGCAGATCTGTGAAGATATTAAGAGATTTGGGTGTCTGACTATCTCTAGAGATCAGGGTTTAAGTGCTACTTACACTGCAGAAGTACCTAGAAAGTTGTCCTCTTAATCTGGGCCAACACACTGAGGACAGCACAGACACAAGACTCGATTCCCAACCATTCACAAATGCAGCTCCCAAGACTTCCTGAATTCCCTAAGTAGGTCAGGTAAGTAACACCAAAGAAGCCACAGTTGGATGCCCACCATAAGTGCTGCTATAAATGCCAGGAGCTCTACATAAATAGCAACCCACCACTCTTAGTCTCCAGGAAAAAGAAGATGGGACAGGACTTGACACAACCTAATGTTAAGCATAGAAAAAAATTGTCAAACTCGTATTCAAATTACCCAAGGGATTTGTGTTACAACATATCTGTAGACAGTACTTACCATCACCTCATTTTATATGTGTCAATTGGTAACTGTGACCTCATGATTGTGCAGCTCAAAGAGTGAACTGAGGAGCAAAATTAAGTTTAACTTACATTTTGCCATACTGCTTCCCAAACCATTCTGTTCACAGAATTATTCTGCTGTGATCTTGGCAGAACTGCATTATTTCGTATAAACAAGAACAAATGATGCCAATAATTTTTAATTGTTTCAGCTGAACAAGAACACAGAATTAGATGATAAAACAGTATCTACAGTACATTTTCTTCCAGGCCATGGACACGAGCAACGTGAAGATGCATTTACACTTGGCAGAATCAGAGGGTGAAACTTAAAATACGTTTACCCAACTTGCTTCCCAAAAACTCTGGAAGTCTAAAACCCACAGCAGTGATTTAAACAAGGCAACTGGAAGTTTAGTGCTCCCTCCGAAATTGTAACAAGTCTCATTCCCATTCAGAAGCAATACAAGAACGAGTCTGCATTTTGCTCTAGGCAGCTTGTTTAGCAAACATTCCCAGCACTGGTAGAACCAAAAGTCCATCAAGGGAAACGCTGCACCAAGGCAATAATCCCCACTAATCAATTTTTATTAGTTGACAGGAAGTTTGCACTGCAGATCTGTACCAGGGGGGAGAGTCTGATTACCTCTGAAAGAACTGATTTACTGCTGACTTCAGAAAACCCCAGAAACACAGTAATGCCTCAAGAGCTCCCAAGGATGATGAATCCTCCAGGATTTTGGCCAAGCGTCCAACCTGGGTTCCCACTCAAACCAAAGCCAACACTTCCAGTTGCACTGACTCCTCCATGCCAGGTGGAGAACCCTTCCCTCTTGCACACTTATTGTGGAATATGGAACTGCACGTGAGCCTCTGCCTGAGTCAGTCACGCTATACCCCAATACCTGGGGTCTGGGAGGGCATTTATTTTCTGTAAGTCCTTCAGTTACTGTGGAAACTGCCTGACTGCTCTCATATAGTGCTATTATTTGTTCTACCATATTTCCCTATCGAAACTGTAACTGAAAGGAGCTTTACTTAGCCCTCCTTTTTGTTGTAGGTTCTATTTCCCTCTCCAAAACGTGCATTTTTCAGACGTTCTGCGATGGTGCCATCGCAAGTTTTTTAAGCGCAACTCAGTAAAAATCTGTCATTTGGTGAAACCTTGATGAATTTTATGAACAGAAAATATCTAGAGTGTCTTCCTACCTCTAAATGAAAGTGTAACTGCATTCACACTTTCTACATGCAAGGGTGTTTATTTCACTTTAAATGAATAATCACAGCTCTTGGGCCAAAGTAACAGTCCCAGATGAGCAACACCATCGAGAAAATTAAAGGCCCTTTCTATTCTGTGCAAGGGAACCATGTTTAAAGGAACAGTTGCAAGACAGACATTTTTGGGCCAAGAGACACCACCCAGGGTTGCCAGTTCCTCCCCTGCACCCCTTTTTCCCCAGGTATTAAACGATCAGGTCTGTTTAATGATCAGGCACAGCGCACAAGCTTCAAATGGAAAAAAAGGATGAAAAGAAGGTGCTGGAAAAGTAAAACGATCCGTAATAATTTCTACCACATAATGAGAGCGAACGAGTTTTCTCTGGGCAATGAATCACGTCCCCGATCCCTGCGGGGCGAGCGCTCGCTCTCTCCGGGTTTGCCGGGGGCAGCAGGGTCTCCAGCCGGGGGCGAAGGCAGAGGAGGAGGCGCAGCCCCGTCCCCCGGGACCCCAGAGGAGCCCGGCGGGCGAGGGGCCGCGGGCCGGGCCCCCCCCATGGGCGTTGTCTGCGCCGAGCCGCCCTCGCCCCGCGCGGCCCGGCCGGGGGAGCGCCGGGCCCGGCCCGCACCGACCCCGCGGAGCCGCGAGGGGCAGCGGGGGCTCTTTGTGGGGCCCCCCGAGGCGGGGGCGGCTCCCCGGCCCCCCCCAGGACTCGCCCTTCGCGGCCGCCATTTTATTCCCGGTTCCTGCCGCCACCGCCCCCCGCCCGGGGCCCCGCCCCGGCCCGAGACACCCCCTCGCCCGGGCCCCCCATCCCCGGTTCCACCGGCCCTCAGGGCGCTCCCCGTCGCCATTTTGTGTGCGCCCCCTCCTCCGCCCCTGCCCCCCTCCCCCGCCCAGCCGCCATTTTGTGGCCGCTCCCTCCCTTCCCTCTCCCCTTGGCCGTGCACGGCCCTCCCGGAGCCCGCGCGCTCACCATCGTAGCGCTCGGCCTGCTCAGCCAACTTGGCCTGATAGACGAGGTCCTCCCGATCGTCCATGTCCTACGGGCGGGGCGGCGGCGGGGCGGCGCGGGGCGGATGGCAGCCGATGGGTCCGGGGGGCTCGGCAGCTACCAGCTCGCTGCTCTCCGGGCAAATATGGCGGCAGCGCCTCCTCCCGCTGCATCCGGGCACTCCCGCGGGCGCGCGCATGCGCCCCCGCCGCTGCCATGGCAACGGCGGCTCCCTGGCAACGGGCGGAGGGCGGGAGAGGCCGGGAGGAGGGATGAGGGAGCCGGGACGGGGCGGCCGGGAATGGCCGGGAATGGCCGGGACGGAGCCGCCGCCCTCCCGCCCGGGGGTGGCGGGGCCGTGCCCGACACGGCGCCCTGGTTGTGGGGCAGCGGGCTCGGCTGGCGGCCAGGCGGGGGACGCTCCAGGGGGGCGGCATTTCCCTCAGGGCGGGTCTTTCTCTCAGTGTTTCTGCTGCCCTCAAACGCTGACAATACAAATAGTACTACTCCTCTGTGTTACAAATAGTCTACTCCAGTATTACATGTAGTATATCTGTAATAGATATGTGTATATATATAGTATATATGTTATATACATGCCTATATATTGTATATAGGTAATATACATACATATAGCATTACATATTAGTATAGTATTACATACAGTATATATGTAATATAGATGTATATGAATGTATGTATGTATAACATATATCTATATAATATATCTACATATATTTGTGGTATATATGTAATACACACACATATAATATTATGTATAGTATATTATATTATAGTCTGTATTGTATTATAAATACAATTACCCCTCTCTGTATTCTTGTACAAATCCCCATGTATGCCCCACACATGAAGGTGAACCTATGACCAAAAGGCAGACAATCAGATAGAGGTTTCTGCAGCTCAAGAAAAATATCACCCCCGATGCTTTGTCTGACGTAAGACGTGGTAATTTCACTGTTTTAAGATGATAGAAAAAAATGAAAACGAAAATGGAATGTGTCACAGGTTCCTCACAGATTGCTTCTGGAAAAAAAGAAAAAAGGAGCATACACTTAAATATCTGAGATAATGCCTCCATTTCTGACATAAGAATGGGTTTAGAAAACTAAAAGGGACTGCGCTTGGCTGGCATGAAGTTGATCTTCAAAGATCCCCATCCCTGGAAGTGTTCAAAGGCCAGGCTGGACAGGGCTTGGAGCAACCTGGGCTAGGGGAAGGTGTCCCTGCCCACGGCACGAGATGAGCTTTAGGGTCCCTTCCAACTCCAACCATCGTGGGAGTCTGGGATTTGCTCAGGGCAGCTGTGAATGAAGTGTCATCAACCTTTGCAGATTTGGATGGCAGAGGCTGAGCCAGCCCCAGCCCCCCCTGGACAGGGTCAGGTATCCTCCTATTTGTTGTACTGTGCCCCCCTAATTGGGCTCCTGGTGGGTGACTGAGGGCACACCCCAAAAGTTAAAGCATATTTTTATAAATACTTTCATTCTAACTCAATTCAATTTTAACACCAATTTCAGCCGGTGAACGAGGGCTTTAGGTCATGCAAATTTAACATAATCTTACGGTTTTCTTTAAAATAACTCTAAAAATTTAATGCAGTGATTTTTATGTCACTGTTTGCCTACTCAGGAAATAAATGGTTTGTTTCCCTGAGGCACTTTGGGCCCCTTTTCCAAACACTGGGATTATTTAATAAGAATTCCACAAAAGAAAAAAACCAAAGACATCAGCATGTCTTCACCAAGGTGAAAATCAGGTGTCAACTCCTGAAAAAAACCAACATTATTTTCAATTTACTTGATATACTATCAGAAAAATGCTGATTTCACTGAAATTGGGAATCATGACAAACCTTTCCTCTGAACTGCTTTGTAAATACATGGCACCATTACCAACCTGGGCACCCAAAAGGTCCCAGCAGTGCACAGCCACCATCCCTTTGTGCTAATATACTAAAATTTGCACTTCGTAGGTCTTGACCATAAAAGCTCTATTTTTCAGCAAATGAGGCTTAGTTTTGTAGCCAAGTTGTGCACAATAAATTAGATTTGGATCAATTTAGGAACTTTCCTGTGATCTTCCTGCTCAGCAGGTACCAAAGCTGTAGAGGGCAACAATATAAATAAACCAGGACATATCAAGCATATTTATTTGTCAAAAGAAAGGTGCATGCTTGATCCACCTGCTGAATAATAGCATACTGTCCAAATGCTTTAAATACTTGTGAATGCACTCATTACAGATGCCATGCCAATGTTTGGAAACTGGTCGGGGATTTGGCAAAGCATAAGGAATAAACAGTCTAATCCAGGGAAATACTCACAGCACAGTTTTGCTGATGCAATCCTCGCTTGTCCTTTGCACCCTCAACTTTCACATGAATTGATTCAGCTGCTGCTGCTGCAGCTAAAAAACATGGCTGGAAGGAGAGGGAAAGGAAAAGGAAAATTAAGAATGGTCACACCCACAGCTCTGTTTTTAGATCACCGAATTCAAATATTCCAACAACAGCTGATTGAGAATGACACCAAGTCAAAGTTTTGGCTATACTTTTATTTACTTCACGTACTATGAACATATACATTACATGCTACAAAAAAATAAAAAAAGACTTTTAACTGTCAAGAAAGTGGATAGTGTTATAATACAATGGCACATGTTTCATATTTTTCTTCAAACTGGTTTGGTTAGAATCCTTCCCCAAAACCATTAACAAAAATGAAGTGTTTTACTCTTAAAACGATTAGAAATATTTTCATTATTAACAAATAGAATTCAAACAGATTAACAAGATTTAACCAGGTCCAATATTAGTAAAAAGGCTGGGGTTTACCAAAATGAAATACGTATTAAAAAAAAAAAACATAGCAGCCAGTTGTACTTTTTAGTGTGACATAATGTGTAAATGCACCAGAAGAACACAGTGTAATTGAGCATTCTGCTTTCACGGTGTATTTCTAGAAATGATTATTCTAGTTCTAACACCTGCCTATGCACAAGAGACCAAAAAAACACAGCCAAGTAGAGACAAGAGATTGTGACCAACATTCTTAGCAATGATTTTTTTGCACGCATCGGGGAGAAGGGAGGGAACAAATAGAAGAGGATAAACAAAGGCCACAAAAGGATTTAATCTACATGTTCATGAACATATGTTCTACCTATTCTCCTTTAAGAGCTTGACAAGTTGAAATGTCTATTTTGTCCAAATGCAAACATTTCTACCGCCTATGAAACAAAACCACATTTTGGCTTAGAACTGAATAGTGGAAAACAGTTGCATTAACGTGTCAGTCGACTAAGAAAAACTGCTTGACAAGAACTTGGGGTTCTAGTGCAATAGCAGCTATTAAGACTCCTCTAGTTTCTTTCTTTTGCTGTTTCAAAGTGTACAGATATTCACAATTTACACAGTCTTAATAAAACCACATCTCCAAAGTTCGCAGGGTATTTGCTAGTTAATTCAATTAATGCCGTTCACATTAAAAAGGCAAGATTTGCATAATAAAACTACCAGAAAAATGTTCTTTTGGTATCTTAAAATTTAACTCCTGATTGGAAAGGTACAAACACATGGGCATTCATTAACTGCAGTTGGGAAAAATACTTCAGAGCAGTGTTACTGTAAGAACACACCGTTCATTACGTTTCCTTCGCGATACAGGAAGGAAAATATAAGCATATACGGGCAACTGAAAAACTCAATGTTAAGCCTGTTATTTAGAGTGCAGCTACTGAACAAAAAAACCCAGTTATAGTAAATATCAGGGTCAGAGGAAAAATACAAATTAGCCTGAAAGAGACCGACGAGTTACAGAGCCTAGAGTTAGTTTGTCAATTCTTTCCCCCTTGAAGTGAATTTTGCACTGAGCTAGAAGAGATCCCACAATCACTGGCACGTCACCCTAACCAGAACAGCAATCCAGGCTAGGACAGGACTGCGATTCCGTTGTTCCCACTGCCACAGCAGCGTCCCAGCTGTCAGTGCTCTGCCCACCCTCAGCAGTGCTCACGAGACTGGCGATGGACAGGTGTGATTAACGTACATGGGCGCCAGCGCACGCGGTTCACGAGTGCCCGTGACCTGAACATTAGTCAGACTCGCTGATGGATTAGTTCTGAAGTAAAACGACTAGTACTTAAATAGAACAGAAATATTATAACTTCCAGCATGTTACAGAGTTCTGAGGTAAAGTGTTACCGGTTTTGTTGCAGGGTCGGTGCAGTGCGCGACCAACGAGCCACTCCAGTCGCCTGGTTTGTAGCAACCCAAACCAGCGTTTTCCTTTTGATACTATTTAGAAAAACCCTTCTGTGTGGATCACACTGTAGTCATAAAGTTACAAAATTTAGTTTGGTCACCAGAGTGCTGTGCTTGGAAAACAACCCAGGGTACAGGCAAGGGATAGTTACTTCAGTGTTTAATTTCAGTTTACAAAACTTACTGAATCCATTCTGATTTATATTAGAGAAAACCAGATAATTAGAAGAACAGACTACAAAAACAACCACCAAGCAGTGCATAATACTGCCTATTCAATGCACTGATTTTCATTATGAGCTAGGAAGCCATATTTACTCTATTATGCCTTTTGAGAATCAGTCCAGAAGCACACAATTATTTTCCATTAGTTTATTAAAAATAAAATCCTCATGAATTCACTATCAAATATTTTACAGATGGGAATCAAACCAGAAGAGTCCCCAGAGTAACTTTATAATAAAAGTAATATTTGGTTTGTCAGTTCACCATGTTTTGACACCGATCTGTACTGTAACAGTATTGTACAACAGGAGTATCCAAGAATTCTAGAAACATTAAACTAGCCCTACATAATTTAATTTTACTGGAAAGCAGTGTCAATATTTTAGTATATTTAGTGAATCAAACACTGCTTTAAAGCTACGTATTAAAGTGCTACGCACGTATTTTTCAGCACTGATATGGACGTTTACACTTCTATAAGCCTTGTATTTGTGGATAAAAAGAGATATTTGTGTGTTAATAAAAATCTTAAATTAATATCAGCTGCTATGTTTGAAGCATCAACAGTACTGAAGAAATCAATCTAGTGTCCACAAGCTTCTAGAATTCTGAGGTTGATTTGATCTGTCATTTACCATTAACATGGTAAGAACGTGTAAGTCATAAGGGCTGTCCCCA